AGTGAGAATGGCAACAAGTCTGAAACAAAATATGGTGCTTATAATATTCTGCAACGCATGCTTACATTTGATTTTCTTGTACTTTTGCATTTTTGAAGAAATCTTTTATCTATCAATCGAGTGTAGAAACGTCTTCAGGACCCCAAAATTAAAGAGAATTTTATAAAGTCACTTGAAAAGTCCTGTCAAGAAGCACTTAAAGTGGGCAAGAATCAACGTGAAACATGGGGATTGACCATTGAAAGAAGAAAGATACGTCGTAAACGAATGCCAGGTGAAAATACAGCTGATGCTGGATTGACTGCTGAACAGGAAATTTATCGCATCATGAAGGATGTTACTGATCGCTTAATTACAGAAATAACAGGAATATTTTCTCGCTTACTAGATTTAGATTTAGAGTTTGGATTTCTACTGGATGTGCAAAATTATGTTCTGACTTAGCAAAGAGCTATCCAGGTGATATTGATAGACTAGAATTGTACAAAGAAATTAAAGACTGTTGAATGTTGATAAGTAAAAGAACACAGACCGATTTTTCTGAACCAATGGTTGCAACTGATTTGCTAACATTTATAATTTCATATGGTGAAGATGTTTTCCCAAATTTAAGAATTGCATTGCAGATTTTGTTAACAATTTGGGTTTCTATTACTAGTTGTGAAAGATCCTTCAGCAAACTGAAATTAATTCTTACATACTTGAGAACCTCAATGACTCAAGAACGACTCAGTAACTTGACAATATTAAGTATTGAAAAAGACGTATTTAATACCTTAAATTTTGATAGTTTAATTGATGCATTTGCAGCAGCAAAAGCACGAAAGGTTCATATAATGTAACCATGAATACCAGAATGCTACCTGTACACGATCTAGTTAAGTATATGTACAGTTTGTAAACTAATAAAATTTGTTATTTGTAAACTTAAGTAGTATTTTGTCAATCTGTTTTTTAATGCATGTACACCACAAATGACTGGCTTCTCATATAAAAGATAAGTTTTAAAACTAGGGATATAACAGAAATTTGTTCTGCATGCTTGAAAGATTACTCTAACTATGTGACTTTGAACAATACTGGATGACATAAATATCAAAATGGTTTACAAATTATGTAAGTACACCTAGTAGGCTATACTTCATTAGTTCCAGGTTTACAGTTGTGATATCGTAAGATCTTATATTGTGAGTTTATTTTAGGCCTGTATAAGGCGGTAATTAATTCTTTGTTATTGTCATTAAGTGGGTAATGAGTCACAAAACAAATAATCAAAACATTTCGGAGGTAGGGGCGCCAAAAGTATTTTTGCCCCTGGGTGCCGAGAACCCTTGCTACGCCACTGGTTTACATTCACGAAACACCGACTTTAAAACAGTCCTGTGTTACAAGTTCAAGAAACAGTTTATATGACTTGTAATGTAATACGAATAGGTTCACAAACAATTCAAGGGATTCAAAAAAGAAAAACTGAATGTTGGAGAGTCGTCGTCAAGCATGGTAGGGATTTAGGTTAAATGTATATTTAGGTTAAATGTATATTTCATACCCTTTCGGGGAATGAAATATAACCAGGGACAAATGTTGGAGGGTACAAGTTTGAAACGGACAAAAAGCTGTGAATGAATATTAGACTTGAATAGCTTTAGCTGAATAAAGGAATTTGATAGAAAATATTAACTAGCTCTTGTAAAGGTTACTAAGAAATTAATAATAAAAAATATTAACTAGCCCGTGTGAAGGTTGATATGCAGATAAAAATGCATATTCGATACTCTTCCAGAAGCGTCATTGGGCACTAGCACACGAGGCCCGTGCCCCGATTCTATTTGACAGTGCTCCTAATACCCATTTGGTGTCTTGAAATCAGAATAGAAAACCATGATCAATATCATAATGAAATGCCGGGAAGATTCTCGAATGTATGGGCCCGAGCTCCGAATCTGTTAAGTACCTGCGACGCCTCTTTACTCTTCGTTAAAACTTTTGGTGACTGAGTATTCTCTTAACATATAAATCTGAATTATGTTCGTTATTTATGTTATTATTGCTCTTTGTCATTATATAGTCTATCCGTTAGGCGCATGTTTCTGTTTATTAATGATATACGCATCAACCGATATTTGTGTAGTCAAGAGACAGTAACTGTAGACATTGAAGCATGTCGTGCACTTGGCAACTGAAACTTGTGTTGTCAAGGGACAGTAACTGTGTAGGTTGAAGCATGTATGCACCCAGCAACTAAAACTTGTGTTGTCAAGAAGCAGTAACTGTTCAACCTGAGGTATGTATTTACCTAGCAAATAAAACTTCTATTGTCAAGAAGCAGTAATTTCAAAACTTGAGAGACTTGCTTTACTAATAAGTAGACAACTACGCTCTGTGGTGTCATGGTGACCAAATTATTGTTTTATTATTTTAGGTCTATATAAATGTATTAGTGTATGTAATTTACCACTAACATCTCCATCTCATAATAACCTTTCTTATTAAGACGTATTTTTATATTATTCTTAGGGTTTCCTGCGTATATACAAACAGTTTTTTCCACAAGGGGACCCAGCTACTTTTGCTTCGTTGGTGTTTAGGGTGTTCGACGAAAACAAGGTAAATAATTAAAAAACAAAAAGGTCTTGATATAATTATATTTTTTTGCGCTTCAAAAAAGTCAGTAATCCAAAATTTGTGAACTGTTTGTCTTTTTTTGTTAATCATTAGATCCCTTTGTTAGGCACGGCATGGTCAGATGGTCAGGGCGTTTGACTCGCAATCTGAGTCGCGGGTTTGAATCCCCGTCCTACAAAACATGCTCGCCCTTTTAACCGTGGAAACGTTATAATATGACGGTGAATCCCATTATTCGTTGGTAAAAGAGTAACCCAAGAGTTGGCAGTGATAGCTGTCTTCTTTCTAGTCGTTTACTACTAAATTAGGGACGGCTAGCGCAGATAGACCTTGTGTAGCTTTGCGCGAAATTCAAACCCGAATCGTTTGTTATACTACATACATGGGTAAGTTAAGAATACGTTGTTGGAAGATTTCCGTGCTCGATACAAGCACTATAAACATTCTTATTTCTGTGCAGTGTTCGTTAGAGTGTGATATAAAGAAACATGGAATTTCATTTGCAATAGCTAATTTATACAAAAAGAAAATGAAATGCCTCTACTTTTCCAGAAATTGATCGCCGTGGGGACGGTATAATGTTACGGTTAATCCCATTAAGTCTTTGATAAAAGAGTAGCCTAAGAGTTGGCGGTGGTTGGTGATGACTAGTTGCCTTCCTCCTAGTCTTTCACTGCTAAATTAGAGTTGGTTAGCGCAGATAGATTTCGTGTAGCTTTGTGCGAAATTCAAAACAAACCAAACCCACTGGGAAGTCGTGTGTCAGAGATTAAGTAGTAGCCTTAAGACTTTTATTCACCGTTTTAAGCAGTGCTTTTTAATGCTATTTGGATAAATGCTGAATAATTTTATGGTTTTCCCTTTTGTACTTCTTGGTTTGTATGACGCTTATAAATGTCCCATCAGTTTTGAGGTCCAAACTCTTCCCTAGTTTGTTACATTACTTTTTGTTGATGAACGAATCTGTAAGAAGATTAGCAAGTTTCGAGAATGGAGAATAAATAATTCATTGATTTATCAAAAACTTAAGTTTAGTACTCACTCAAGTTTTTTGTATCGGTTGTGCATAGTACAACTTTTGTATATTTTGTTTACAACATTTCACCAGGCTTACCTGGCATCATCAGATGAGATACAACAAATTAATTATGAAAAAAACATGTGAGAATCTATGACAATATTAATCTACAAGCATGTGATTAAGCAATTGCAAAGTTAACAAAGTAATTTATCGATGAACAATCTAATTAATGTGAAACGTTGTGGATAAAGTAAACGGCAGTTTTACCATGCATAACGGATAAAAACATTGTATGCATTAAAAAAAAGTCTTTCTAATGTTTAATAAAAGTTTAGTACTTCCCTCTCTCTCTCTCTCGTAACATATGTCAGGACGTGTTAGCAATTAAAGTGCTACACGTACAGTGACAGGAAGGTGGTTAAAAATGTCTATTGTAAGCTACAAGTTTAGGCAACTTGTCAGCTATCCTTTCAGAATGCTGGTACAAATTCCAAGAAACTGTAATAGTTCTTTTATCGTCACCCACTTTCTTCAGGATGGTCCAGTACTCTTTTTTTTTCATTGCTATCTTTTCAGGAAAACCCATATGTGCAGCTTTGAAAAGAACCCTTGTTATCATTGAATATCAATAAAGAAAATGTATTTCTAGACATAAGATTTTATACATATATATATAATTTCCATAGTGGTTTATATTTTTTTTCGTTATTGATTCTAGAGAATGTGTTCTGATCTGGATGGTAAATGCAAATATCGACTTGTCTATAATTTTTTGTTGTAGTAGTGGTATTATAATTTTCTTAAATATCGTGCATACTCCCCTATAACATTAATTCTATAATATTGAAAATTTAGTTCTATTTCTGTTTTATCTGTCTGTAAAATCCCTTATTGACCAGTAACTTTTGAAACAGTTATTTTTCACTGTTGTAGGGTGTCTCTGTCTTCGTCTACTTACGGAGTCGCAATGGCATTGTAACTTAAAAGTTGGCCTTCTCAGGTTGTTGGTTGGACTTTCCCATGGGAATGCTGAGTGGTCATCTTTTTATTGGTGCAATTACATTAAGTGGTACAGGATATTATGTACAATATTTTATTAGTGTGTATACAGTGTGACCTAAAAATGTTCCGACATTTCGAATGCTCATATAACTATAATAAATGAACCTACAAACCAGTAAAACATCCTTATTGATATTTCATACAACAAATTAATTGAACATACACAATATTCAACTTTGATTCGATGGAAAGCATTTGTGATCTGTTGCTTTAATTCGTCAATGGTTTGGGGGTTTATTTTTAGACATCCTTTAAGATTATCTGAAAATATATATAATAAAATAAAACTTTTAGAATCGATATACAGAAGTTGCATAACTTAACGGATGGGTACATTGTTCTGGGCCACCCTGTATTGTGATGTTTCTTGTTCAAAAAAGTAAAAAAGGAAGAAAAAAAATATTCAGTTTTATCCGTGATTCTAGCTTTGTGCTGCTTGGTTTCAAGTTTTTAGTCATTATCATTCGCTCATTTGTTGACCAAACCGACTCCAAACTTGTTATACGCGGAGGTGGTTTATGTAAGCTGCTTATTCCCATAAAAGAAAATATTCGCAGAAATTGATCTGTTCAACTGTTTATCGACAGTGTTCATAGATGGTGATGTATGCTTTTTGTTAGTTTTAGAAACAATTTGTGCCTGACAGTATATTATAAATTTATTGTAAAATAGAAGTTGGAGTAAATAATTCTTTGAAACCTTACAGCATCTTTAATGTCTTCTTGCCGTTGTTGTCGGTAAATGTGAAGAAAAGGACACGACGACCAGATAATGAGACTTCAAATTGGAGCTGTTTTTTAATGCTCTGTAATTGTATTGTGTAATAGCAACTGTTGCCAGTAACTGAACAAATGTATGTAAATATGCAGTCGAATGTTTGATACATGTGTCGTCAAAGTTTCTTACGATCTAAGTAAATTTTTGTTAAAATTATTGCTTTGTATCCAATTCTCTTCATTCTTATGTGTTCCTCATACAACTAAACAAAATACTCTGTTAAGGTTTTCACGTGTGTATTGAGAAAAGTATGACAGCCATTAGTGGATTTATGTACAATATTTTATTAGTGTATTGTTTTGTAAAAATTGGGCCTTGTGTGTGTGTATACAGGGTGACCCAAAAAAATGTACCAACATTTCGAATGCTCATATAAGTATAATAAATGAAGCTTACGGGCTTATAACGCTAATATTTGAGGTTCGATACAGGTAGTGGGCACAACACAGATAGCCCGTTATGTAGCTTTGCGCTTTAAAAAACTAAGCAAACAAAAATATAAAGTGACTGTGCAGGATAAATTTCTTTGTACATTTTTAGCACTATAACCTTAGATACGACACATTGTTACATTGAGCTATAATTGAGTAGGGCCATCTGCTTTTATACAATTGTTATCAGAAGTATGTAATTTGTGTACAAGTGTTATGCAAAATTTTTCTTACTAAGCAGTTTTATTCTTTTAAAATAATTAATATCATTTGATAATTTGATTCTCATCATTTATCCTATCCTCCATATCGTTTCTTACTTTTTTTTCTTCCTTAAATAGCTTTTTCTTTAACAACTCCGAGACTTCATCGTACTCTAAGTTCTAGACTATTTTATAATCAACTTAAAGTGTGATTCCGATGATCGCAAGAAAATGGATTTCATGGTAAATTCCAATGCCTAAAATAGGAACTTTTAAAAAATCGTAGAAAGAAGACGATAAAACAGCTTTAGTCAATTAGCAAAATAATAATAAATAAGGGGTTATTGCAAAATTTTACCCAGTATCTGAATCATCATTTTGTTATTTTTAGTAAATTTCTGATATGTCTACATTGTTTATATACTTAAACTATGCAGAATATGTGCAAACAGCCAGGTTACTCTTTCAAGGTTCAGGTTGTCATCAATTTTGAACTATGGACCAGTGGGGTAAGAAACCAGGTCGACAGCATCCGTTGTCTCTTGTGGCTACTCTTATCCGAATATCAGGATTGACTATTATTCTCATAACACAAAACTGTTTAAGATCACGTCTTGAACCTTCGGATACCCGGTATAATACGCTAACCATTATGCCACATTCATTACTGGTAAAGAGGTTTTCAAATAATAAT